CTATAACAGCTGCTGGATATTAAAAAACGTATTTTTCTGAAAAATTATTTTATAATATAGATTTTATAAATTAAAACCGACAGTAACACCGGCTTCCTTGATTTCCGTAAGGAAACGACTAATATGAATGTTTCCTTGTAGAATGTTTCCTTGTAGAATGTTTCCTAGCAAGGAAACGTTACCTTGGCCATTTCCTTGTAGAGAATGTTTCTTTGTAGGGAAATGGTTAATATTATCATTGCCATAGTATTGCTGCTAACACATTTAAAAATTGTATAATAATAAATATGTTGGATTAGAAAAAAAAAATATATATATACATATAGGGTTATATATATATATATATATATATATATATATATATATATATATATATGTAACACAAATGCTCTTACAAACATTGGGGGCGGGTTCCTCACGCCAGAACATAGACAAAAGTCCACATAAACGTATGTCTGCAAATCCTTTGTATTTGAGATAATTAGTTTAAAGAAAGCCTCGCTTTCCTTACCATTCACGCGGCCGTATGTAAAAAAATCATATCTGCCTGTTCACGATATGAATATCCTGCCATTGTTAAGCGGAAATCTTCTCAGCTAACTTACTGCTACTCGCATTAAACGTTGAAAAGAGACTAGCCACAAATATACACGAATGACAAATGTAACCTAGTCTTCATGGCAACACAGCGTCATCTAACGAAAAATTTTCTTAAACTGAATGATTCAAAATCTAATGATATCTGTTTATATCCTCGTTTTGGCACCCTCACAATATTTGTAAAGTATTTTTGATAGACCCTATACATACATATATATATATATATATATATATATATATATATATATATATATATATATATATATATATATATATATGTGTGTGTGTGTGTGTGTGTGGATTAGTAAATATGTTGTTTACTCTGCCGGCATTTATGATTTGATTATCGAGTTGAAGGCAGAACCATCCATATTTTTCGGAAGAGCAATAGAGTATAACTGGGTACACCATAGGAGAGGGGAGATGTAGTCATACGTTTCCCAAGGATATTTCCCAAGGACATTTCCCAACGATATTTCCCAAAAGTATTTGCAGAAAATTGAATGTAACGAAATCGACTGGAATTCAATTCCGCGTTTCGTGTCGTTAACCATTGTGGCGCCTGTACATCCTAGCATACATATATATATGTGTGTGTGTGTGTGTGTGTGTGTGCGTGCGTGTGTGCGTGTATTCCCACAAAGTGGGCGCGGGTTCGAAAGTTAGTGGACGTAATTTACAACTTCAAACAATGTATCCACTAAATGTAACGTTTAAAGTTGTATATATATATATATATATATATATATATATATATATATATATACAAATATTATAGATACAAATAAATGCTTTGTTTTATAATAAACAGTATTAAACAACATTTACTGCCCTGAATAAACAGAACATTTACTTTAATATTTGTATCTATAAAAAAGAATGTATAAACATAAAAATGTCTTCAAATAATTATCGGACTTTTGTACATTTCATAATATATATATATATATATATATATATATTTTTAGAAAAAAGAAAATATATATGTGTATATATATATATATATATATATATATATATATATTAAAAAATATATATATGTGTGTGTGCGTGTGCGCGCTCGTGTGTGTGTGTGTGTGTGTGTGTGTGTGTGTGTGTGTGTGTGTGTGTGTGTGTGTGTATCAAACAAGGCACGCTTAGAGTTTTTGAATACATATCTTACCCATCCTCGAAATCAAAATCACTATTCAAGCTTAGGGTGATGTGTTGTCGCACTAACATATCAAATTTAGTCCGATTAATTCCTAAAACGCGTCACAATAAAACTTCTCCCACTTAGTTATATATTTTCCAAAATATATATATATATATACACACACATATGTATAAGTAATTCATCGAGTTTAAAAGAAACCTCAACAAATTATAAGCTAATGCTCTGGAGTGAGCGGCTTGGGGATAGTAGTCGTGGCTCGTTGGGGCAGTGTCCTATGGGTAACAGAGAAACTCGGATGAGTTCCACCACGGAATTTGTGAATCGAGCGGCGCTATATCGAGTCTGATTCGCTACCTTTTCGTCACCGAGGCCCGATGGAACATTTGGTATGACGTTTGCCTGATAACGTAACTCTTCTTGGTAGTGGGTGCGCACCAAATATAGGACGAAACGGCCGTCCAATGCTTTCTACATTCTGTTGAGATTTCTTCTAGACTCGATGAATTACTTAATTATAATTATCTCAAATCCTCCTAATTTCTATCACATACACACACACGCACATACACACACACACGCACATACACACACACACACATATATATATATATATTCATGCACTTTTCATTAAATAATATAGACAAGTGTTGTCTATTTATTTTATGTAAATTTTTTTCGTGACGTCTGATAAGTTTAATAACATTATCGTTGAACGAAGAAAGTAATTCACGATATTGATCCATATTTTTTAATACAATCTAAGCTTTCGGCTTAATTATGCCATTATCAAAGATGTCAATTACAACATATTAAGCAATATACGGACAAGACAGTGATGATAGTCTGTCATTGTTTACATAGATGATCTCTAAGCAACGATAAACACGCGTATATAAGACGCTAGAAGTGAAAATCGCACCGCATCTCATGACGTCACACATGACCACACGGGAGTCAATTGGAGAAGTATGAAGTATGGGAAGCCGTTGGTATAAACCAATGACTTTTATTACCATTATAGACATTTAAGAATATTTCAAACAATTTAAACCCAAAATCAATTATGCCATCTCTAATGGCATAATTGATTTTGTTTAGGTTGGGTTTCAACTGTTTGATGTATAATGCTACAAGGATTTTTAGTTTTTGTCTATTGTTTTCATGTCGAAGTTTAATTGTGTTTTCGACAAGTATTTTACGGAATTGTGTGTGCGGGCAGGCATGTTGTTTTAAATGCCTAAAATTGTTAGAGTTTTTGATATTATATATATATATATATATATATATATATATATATATATATATATATATATATATATATATATATATATATATATATATATCCAGGTGGTGTGATGGTTGGTAACTATGTGCGTTGTTTGTTTTTGATTTTGTCGACTGCACAGTATTGTAGGGTCAGTTGGGCACCATCTACGAGGAAAAAATACCATGACGCAATACACTCATGGCATTCGTACCGGAAGCTCCAATATGAACATTTCAGTGTGTTTAAGTGCTAAACTGAGGATTGTGCAAAGGATTCGTAAAGTGTTGAATGAGTCTAATGGTGATTACGAAGGTTTTTGGAGTGATCACTAGTGACGACAACGTTATGCTTCCATTTATCTTCCCACAGGGCCTCAGACTCAATACGGAGTACCTTGACAAGGTAGTACTGCCATGGGTCAAGAGGGAGGCTGCTGGATGACATCTATGTTTAGCAATGAGATTCTGAACCATGCCACACAAGCAGGAGAACCCAATCATAGCTGTCAGATAATTTCTGAGACCACATCACCCTTTACATCTCGCCACCTAACTCCCCAGACTGCAGCCTCCTTGATTATTATCTGTGGGTCGCAGTTGAATGAGAGACCAAGAAAACTCCTTGTAACACCAAAGGTGAACTAAAGGCAAGAATTATGGCAGAATTCACCAACGTAAACAAGGAGACTGTCCAGAAGAGATGCAGGAGATTCCGAAATTCTCTGGACGCCGAGGATGAAGCCAATGGCGATTTTATTGAATAAATTTACTCTTTACAATTACAAGATATTTTTATGTAATTTGGTAAATATATCTGTTAAAAATGATATGTCAGTTTTGTTTTCAATCTTCCGTAATTTAGACGACAATTTATCCATCGCACTCTTTATATGTAAAAATTCTGATCGAATATATCTGTAAAAATACAATATGAATAAAGACAAAAGGTAAACTTAACTTGGCCGGCGCGTTTCGCTCTCTGTGAGACTTTATCAAGACATAAAATTCTTTTATTTTGTAACAAGTATTTATATACACTATTTACATTATTCGGACTATTGTCCTCATCTTTGTCATCATATTTATTACAACGTTTCAGCCTTTCAGTATATGTTTATATTTCTGAGATGAGGTATTATGTGCACTATTTACATTATTCGAACTATAATAAATAATGTATATAATACCTCATCTCAGAAATATAGACAGGTATTGAAGTATTTATATATAAAAGCAAAGTTTCATTGGTTTTACAAAATGTTTGAGTTAACGCGATTCATTTTCATTATATATATATATATATATATATATATAATGAAATGAGCAAAGTCCGACAATTTTTTAAGACTTTTTTATGTTTATACATTCTTTTTATAGATACAAATATTTAAAAAAATGCTCTGTTTATAATAAACAGTATTAAATAACATTTACCGGCCTGAATGTCCGAGAAATTTTCATAGAAAATACTCGTCCTCCGACAGGAATCGAACCTGTATCCTATACGAAACCGTCATTTAGCCTGACGTGCCTTAACCGATTGAGCCTCAAGGTCGATTTTACTGCTTTTAAACTACAATCTTCCATGAATCTCTCATGTATATTCATATCTGCTCATGGCGTATCAAATGTAAACAAATGACGTCACACATTATGAAATGGACAAAGTCCGACAATTATTTTAAAAATAATGTATAAACATAAAAATGTCGATAAGTTTACTTATGAGTTCAACATAGACGTTTGAGAACTGCTCCGGGAATCTTAAAGATGTTTAAATAATCAAAATTCGGAAAAAGTGTCACTCCAAGGCCAATGCCTAGGAGCAATGTAGTATGGCATATGAGGGGGGTGTCTATGTATCCTTACCTCCCCCCACCCATGGTACCAAAAGAATAAGACTGAAGTCTTGTTTCCTTGACCCACATACATACATGTGAACACCTCATTTGAAACCGACCCTGTGTCAAATTCTAACACCAAGCGAGAGAATAGACAAATAAATTGCCACACACTCGCAGATAGATAGATAGATAGATACTGAATAGACTGATAGATTGATATTGAACAGAGAGAGTGACAGACATAGATAGATAGATAGATAGATAGATAGATAGATAGATAGATAGATAGATAGATAGATAGATAGATAATCTGTAGACTTATAAACAGATAATCTAAACAACATAGTTTTGAAAAAAAAGAGACAGAAAGAAAGAAATGTATAAGTTAGATAGAAAAAGGCTAAGAGATAGATAGATAGATAGATAGATAGATAGATAGATAGATAGATAGATATGAACAAACCAAGTTATGTAAGTAATGTGTAGACTTATAAACATACATATTCTAAAGAACATAGTTGTGAAGAAGAAAAGGAAAGAGGAAAAGTTTAAGATAGAGAGAAAAGAATAGATAGATAGAGATAGATAGATAGATAGATAGATAGATAGATAGATAGATAGATAGATATTGAACAGACAGATAGATACTAGATAGATAGATAGATAGATAGATAGATAGATACTGAATAGATAGATAGATAGATAGATAGATAGATAGATAGATAGATGAATAGACTGATAGACAGATAGATGAACAGAGAGGGTGAATAGATAGATAGATAGATAGATAGATAGATAGATAGATAGATATATATATGAATATATATATATATATATATATATATATATATATATATATATATATATATATATAGATAGATAGATAGATAGATAGATAATGAACAGACAATAGATTATTTTCCTTAAAAGATCATGTTGCTGTATTTTACATGTATACCAGTGTACTGGTTTTAAAAGATTGTATAACGCCAGACTCCAGCATCTATTTTACCATCATTTTTTCGTTGTTTTCACTTCAAAAATTCTATCATTGTTTTTGTTTGTTTTTGTTTTGTTTTTGGTTTTTTTTAAAGGTGAGTGCTTTTATCGTTATTTTCTTGTTTATTTTACCCAGTATTATCAGCATTATTCCCAGAAAAACATCGCTTCAAGAATTAACGATATTGTTCTTGCGCAGATCATTATTTAGGCAAAGGTCAAAAGTCAAAAGAAAGCCATTTCAGTCGCCAACGTTCATTCTTAATTGTTTCTGAAAATATTTATTTTTATTTCGTTTTAAAAATTGACTACAAACTCAAGTTTACAGGCTTCTGAAATTGTTTTTATTGCTCCACCATTTGACTTTTAATTTAAACCAAATTTCGTTTAAAGAATCAACGCTACAGTTTTATTGTATTTCCGTTGTCATTTTGAGATTATCGCTTTCAGCAAAACGAAATATTTACACATTAATACTTTATACGTACAATTCCTGTAATCCGATCTTTATTTAATCTATCCAAACTTTATTCTAAACCTTTTTATACACATTTACTGATATTTTTTTATCGCCATCAATCTGTTTGAACAACGTAATAGGTTATTCGGAAAATAATGTCCGATTTTAAAATAAATCTTTTAATTTTATTCTAGTAATATTATTATAACAGTCGCACAAAATATACTCAGTCAGTTATATGCCATGCGTAATACACCCTTAAGCGGTCATGTACCTTAAGAGGCAGATTTTTCCCGCAGTAGGTTGCCATTTCTTTCTGCGGTAGACCAGTTGCCATCCAAGGCTATAGAACCCGGTCTCTCCTGCTATTTACCCATAGCTGGGGGGATAAGAAGAGGATTCATACCCTTGTAAGTGAATTTCAGTCAGTTATGTGCCATGCGTGTTACACGCTTAGGCGATCATGAACCTTTCGATATATGACTGACAAGGCATATTTTTCCCCCGCAGTAGGTTGCCATTTTCGTTCTGCCATCCAAAGCTGTCCTGCTATTTACACCTAACTGGAGGGAGAAGAATGGGATTCATACCTTTCCCAATGGTATCAGCACGTAAGTGAATGTAATGGATTTGACTGGAATTCGAACTCGGCTCTCCAATTCCTCAATCCGAGCCGCTATCCATTACTCCATATAATGCCTCTATATACACTACACATTTTTAATGATTAATTAGTTAATTTTATATCAATCTTTTTCGGAATTTAATATAAAAGATTATATACCCCTTATATTGAATAGGAAAAAAGAAGAGATACGTTTACTTTTTGGGGTGTGGGTGCTTGTTAAAAAGTGTTCAGGTTAAATGCTTCGACAACTGCTGCTAACATTAAGAGAACATGGGCTGAAGGATCCACTTGTGATCGAACAGTACGGTGCTGGTTCCTGAAGTTCAGCAGTGGGGATACGAGTCTTGAAGATCAAGATAGTACATCCATCTGCAATGGACAATGAACATCTGAAAATACTAGTCAAGCAAAACCCACATCAAAGCATCAGAGAAATATTTCAGACATTTCAACAATATCGGATCATCTCAATAAAATTGTCTTGCTGAAGAAATTCGAAAAATGGCTTCCACAGGAACCTAATGATTCTCAAAGAGTTCGATGTTTTGAAGTGTGTCCAATGTTGCATCTACAAAATTCGAATGATCCATTTCTTGATCGGATAGTGACTTGTGATAAGAACTGGATTCTTTATGACAATCGTAAACGATCGGGGAAATGGCTGGATCTTGAAGAAGGATCCAAACACTTTCTAAAATCGAAATTGTACTAACAGGAGATTATGGTGACTGTCTGTCGGTCCGCCATTGGTGTAATCCATGGCAGCTTTCTGGAATCTCACCAGAGCGTCACTGCCGAAGTTTACTGCCAGCAACTAAGATGAAATACACATTCTGTTAAGCAAAAAGCGACCGGCGCTGGTTACTTATGTCCAGTTCTACTTCATGACAATACTTGGTCACAGGTAGCCAGGATGACTCTGCAGAACCTCACCGAGACTTTGCCATATCCACGACATTGCTCTGATCTCTCACCCACTGACTACAACATTTTCAAGTATCTGAACAATTATTTTAAGCCAAAAGACATTCCGTTGCAAAGAATAAGTATCAACTCCATTCAAGGTTTTCTTGGCATCCAGAACTTTATAGTTTTATCGTAATGGTATAAAGAAACTTATAACTCGATGGCAGAAACGTATAAATGATTAGGATTCCTATTTTGACTTATTTAAAAAATTGTTTGACTACATCATTCAGAAATAAGTGTTGATTCTAAAATCGGACATTATTTTCCGAACAACCAAATACGTATTGTAGGCCGACCGTCTCTTAATCTGATGAATATTTGATCAAAATATTTTATTCACATTTAGAATTTGCTTGTGTTGCTGCTAGTTCTGATGGTACACGTCCTGTAGTTGAACGTATTTTTTTTTTATACGAACCTGCGATTGTCAACGTCTCCGGCCTAGAATTGTTTGCTCACATCACAGCTAAATGTCAACCCAGAAAGGCATCGCTGAGCAATCTGACAAAAATGGCAGACTTCACTTATCGTGATCTCTTGGACTCAATCAAGGCAACGTCAGATCATTGTTGTCAAGAATGAATGAACAATGAAAATACAGGGCGTTCCCCCAAATTTGACATCATTTAAAATGCGAATATCTGAGTAACTAATGTCCTAGGCAAACTGAATTAAATTGGCTTCATATTGAACAATAAAAGATTTATTTATCAAAATTCGAACAAGATAGTCAATGAGATATAGATTTTATAACCGATTTCACAAGACTTCACAAATATTCAATAAAACATTTAATTAGACAAGCTGTAAATTGTTTTTGTGAATACAATAAAATAGACTCTACTGTCTTACAAAAGAATTCTATGAATAATAAATTCGTACAAGAATTTTAATTTTAATTTATAATCTTAACAATTTTCTAAATTCCGTATTACTTTGCAGCGGTAAAGTGATATAGTTTTTAAATTAAAACTATTAATAATCATAAATAGATAAAGCTTACTACAATTCAATGGTCCCCAGTATTTTAAAAAGAATCGAATTTCTTTTGTGTGTATCAAGGTGTCGATTTTTGTAAATACGGTAGTCCATACACGACATTTTCAAAAATAAGAACGATAACTATAGTAAATTTAAAATGCATTGGTCATTTTCTAAGATTTCTTCAACAAGCGTCTTCGTAAGTAACTCTACGAAGAAAAAATACCTAAAATTCAACAAAATATTAGAATGCTTAAAAATATTTTAAATTAAGATTACAGTGTAGTTAAAAAATATAAAAAGGCGTTTCCGTTGTATTCGTGATCTAATTCTATTTCCATTATGTCCCAAATATCAGGCAGTCAATCCATTCTTAAACCAGTCAACCCTCACCAAATCTCTTGCTTTTCTGCCATATTTTAAGCTAAAAGTAATTTATTTCAATACAGATTAATTAAATTTTAAATCAGCTATTTATTTTTATTTTTGTCAAATAACATCTTAGAAAAGAGTATTTTATATTTGAAAGATATTGTCTTTAATAAAATCAAGCCAACTTCAAACCTTTGTAGTCAAGAAAGAATGAACAATGGAAATATATACAAAATGCTTTGATTTGATTAACAGAAAAATAGTATTGTCTTAATTATTAGACGAAACATTGTCAACGACTATTAATCATTTTTGAAAAGGATTTAATTTCATCTTCATTTTTATTGGTTATATTTTTTTAATATTATTTACCTTCATTTTCCGTTTTGAAGCTTTTTCAACCATTATTATAAATATTTTGTTAAATTTCATCTTCACATTATTATTAATTTTGTATTCGTATTTACTTTCAGTTTTTATTAGATAAAAACCGCCATTATTAATTTTTAACTAGTGTTTACTTTTATCATCAATTTTTATTAGATGAAATATTGTCAGCCATGATTATTATTTTCTTACTTTTTATCCCCAACTTTTATTCGATGGGGTATTGTCAACTATTATTATTAATTTTTACCAATAATTTACTTTCTTCTTCGTTTCTTTATGAAATGAAACTTTGTCAACCATTATTCTCAATTTTTGACTATGATTTACTTTATTCATAAATTTTTAGTGTGTTTTTTTTTATCGCAACTTCATTCAGGTCGCGCATCTACAGCATTGAATAAGAAGCAGAAAGTGCGATTCGAACTCTCCTCCAATTTTTGCCTCGTGTAAGCCTGATCGAATGCCAATTTAAATTTTGTTTTTATTCTCGACTTATGAGTAGCATATAATATTTTTATTTAGTTTTTATGGGATAAAGATTTTGTCAGCCATTATCTTTCATTTTTACTCGCATTTTACTGGCAGATTTTTTTTCCCCCTTTTATCTCAGTTTTACTCGGGCCGTTGATCTACAGCAGTGAGTAGACCAAGCGGATCGGAAATAAATAGTAAGCTCTTATTTCTTTCAATCAATGTTAGAACCTACTCAAAAGAATAAAAATGGAATAAGATCGATCAGCGGATCTACTTCTGCATTCATTTTGTTTTTGCAGAATTCGAACAGCCATTAATTCAACACTTTTGCAATGTTTTCCTATATCTGTATTCTAAAAGAAATGGTTCTCTGTCCGTCATGCGCTCTGTGTCATGTGCGTATGTAATATATATGTGCTGAAGCCCAAGGAGGGTGGCGGCTACCTGTCAAGGCAGTACCTCTTCTACGGGAGGGGACTGGGGTCATTACCGGCGTCTGAGGCGTCCCCCATAGTGCCGCGGGGATCTGAGCAATTTTCCACGGTATTGCTGTTAAACCTACTTTATACATCGACCTTGTGCCACATTCGTTAACGATGTGGGTGCACTGAATGATCCATATATGTGTCTTGTGCTTGAGTGACTTACA